ATAAGGTATGCTCACCAATGACCAGAATGTAACAGTAATTGAAACAATACAATGAGCTGTACGAATTGAACTTACTTGCCGTATTTTTGCTGATCTTGATGTACATGCCCAACGATCAAGTGCAGCCAAACCAAGAAAACTTAGTGCACATGGTGCTACTATTCGACTAAAAAAAATAATCAATTTGCACGATATTGAGGATCTATTTGTTGATGTTGATGGGAAAATTTGAAGAAAAACTAGTAATTAGGAACCAAAATCAAAGAATGATTGAGTAACAATATAATAAGAACTAGGAGATTGTCGAAATGTTTTCACTCCAATAAAAATAATCGCATTTAAAATAACTGATGGGACTCCAATAGTAAAGAGTATAATTGGCCCCCAAAAAGATAACTGAATGACTGCTTGAAGAACGGACATAGTTTACTTTCTATATCTTTTCTAAATTAAAATGAATACTAATCGGCTTTTTATATTTTCTCTCTTTTTCTAGAATCGAGTTACTCAAGCATTATCGCACCTACTCATTTTTCTCTGTCTTTTCCACCCGATTCTTCATTAGAATATGTTTTGATGTCTAATAGAAGTGCATAGGTTGGTCAAAAACAGATAAGTTGTCTAGAAAATAATTCTATCAGGAACAGCCATAATTTATCACCGACATTCTCTACCATTCAATGAAAAATAACTTAGTTTTTTTCTGAATAAAATATCTGAACATTGAACTTGCTTTAAATTTGAGAATTCGAGAAATATTTATATGATTTTACTTTTAGAAAAATGTAACTATTATTGATATAATTGCAATAATTATGAAAACGTTTGACCTTTTTTTTTAAAATAAATTGAAATACATCCAATACAACATTTTGTGATTAATTTCCTTTGATATTCTATATAATATATGATATCGACATGTCTTAGCATGAGGGATTATATTATGAAAGAGATTAATTAAATTTTTAGTTTATTGAAATATGATTAAAAAAGATATTTTCTTCAAATATAAATCATAATTTAACTTGTTTTGTTTAGTCAACATCTAGACAAATGTCAAAAAAATAAGTAGATCAGATGCATCATTGTAAAAATAAGTTAAAGTCTTTTCTAACAATGGAGGTGTTTGGACTGTAAGTTGAATTTACCAGATATTTTTGCATCAATAGAAAGCCCTCACCGCCAAACTAACAAGGTTAAAATATTAGCGGCTGTTGGCTTGCCTAGAGGGAGATATTTAGATTTTAAATTTAGGTATAAAAATGAATCAGGAAAGATTTTCTCCACTATTATAA